CATAACACGGCCACCCTTGCTCCAGCCTCCAGGCGGTTTCCTCATGGCTCTTCCAGCCTCCCCTGACAGGTCACACACAATTCCTCCAGCCTGCGCAGCAGACCCCTCCCTGCTTTTTGTCCTGGCCACTGCCCACCTCCCACCACCCAGTGCCAGAGCCACATGCTTAGGTTTTTAAGACAGCACCACACTTCTAGGTACCATTTATGTATCAGGTATCTATGGTTAAGCAGCAGACCACTTAAAACACCAGCTTAAAACAACCACTCTTGTATGTAGCTCTTGTATTGTGTGGGTCAGGAAATCAGATTTGTCTCTGTCGCACAGTATCTGGGGGCCTCAGCTTGGAAACTCGAACAACTAGGGGGACAAAACAGCTTGGGGCTGGGTTTCTCTGGAAGCTTCTTTAGGTACGTGTCCAGAGCCTGGGTTGAAATGCCTCCAAAGGCTCAGTTCACCTGGGACTGTCTCCCAAAGTGTGTACACACCCCTCTCCGTGTGCCTAGGGCTTCCTGACAGCATGGACTCCAGGTAGCCACACCTCTTACATGGTGGCTCTAAGAGTGTGTTCCAGCCAACAAAGTAAAATCGGTAGGGCCTTTTAAGACCTAAATTCGCAAGTCTTTCAGCATCATTTCTTTCATATTCTATTGATTGAAGCAGGTACAAGCCCATCAAGATTCCAGAGGGGACACAGACTTCACATTTTGTAGAAATGAATCCAGGTTTTAGAACCCCCTTAGTAGGCTTCTCTGGGATGGTTCATTTCTGATCCATGTGGTGTCAGTTGTGATCACACATGCTTTTTGTGACCATGTGGCAAGTCACATGGGGGCTAGCTGATGCCAAATGGTGGTTGATGTAAACTGAGGCACCTCCCTTCTCCACGTGGCTAACTCACACTTCCTCATGTGAATCCCTTGAAGGCAAGTCCCAACGTGCAAACACTTACCACGCTCTGTGCGCATGACATCAGCTGACAGCCCATTGACTGAAGCAGGGCTCACGGCCAAGCCCAGAATCAATGTGGAAGGGGTCACACAAGGGCCCCAGGAACCAGGAGGCATGGCCACTACAGGGCTTTACGAAAACGGTCCCCCACACCTGGACAATGCCCTTTGTCTCTAAAGACTCGATTTACGCCTCACTCCTCCAAGAAGGCCTCTCTGTCACACTGGGTCTCCCACAATACTTTATGCACATCTCTACCTCTGCACTTACCCTATTACTTTCTAACTGTCTACATACCACTTATGTTTCCACATCAGACAAGCCTTTGAAGGCAGAGATTGTGCTCCATCAATCTCTGTATTCCCAGGGTCCAGCCCTGTGCCTAGAACGCTGTGTCCAGAATAATTATGTCTCTTAATTTGTTGCTCCATTAGCCATGCATGAATAAAGTGCCTCCAAAGGCTCAGTTCACCTGGGACTGTCTCCCAAAGTGTGTACACACCCCTCTCCGTGTGCCTAGGGCTTCCTGACAGCATGGACTCCAGGTAGCCACACCTCTTACATGGTGGCTCTAAGAGTGTGTTCCAGCCAACAAAGTAAAATCGGTAGGGCCTTTTAAGACCTAAATTCACAAGTCTTTCAGCATCATTTCTTTCATATTCTATTGATTGAAGCAGGTACAAGCCCATCAAGATTCCAGAGGGGACACAGACTTCACATTTTGTAGAAATGAATCCAGGTTTTAGAACCCCCTTAGTAGGCTTCTCTGGGATGGTTCATTTCTGATCCATGTGGTGTCAGTTGTGATCACACATGCTTTTTGTGACCATGTGGCAAGTCACATGGGGGCTAGCTGATGCCAAATGGTGGTTGATGTAAACTGAGGCACCTCCCTTCTCCACGTGGCTAACTCACACTTCCTCATGTGAATCCCTTGAAGGCAAGTCCCAACGTGCAAACACTTACCACGCTCTGTGCGCATGACATCAGCTGACAGCCCATTGACTGAAGCAGGGCTCACGGCCAAGCCCAGAATCAATGTGGAAGGGGTCACACAAGGGCCCCAGGAACCAGGAGGCATGGCCACTACAGGGCTTTACGAAAACGGTCCCCCACACCTGGACAATGCCCTTTGTCTCTAAAGACTCGATTTACGCCTCACTCCTCCAAGAAGGCCTCTCTGTCACACTGGGTCTCCCACAATACTTTATGCACATCTCTACCTCTGCACTTACCCTATTACTTTCTAACTGTCTACATACCACTTATGTTTCCACATCAGACAAGCCTTTGAAGGCAGAGATTGTGCTCCATCAATCTCTGTATTCCCAGGGTCCAGCCCTGTGCCTAGAACGCTGTGTCCAGAATAATTATGTCTCTTAATTTGTTGCTCCATTAGCCATGCATGAATAAAGTTTTTTTTAAATAAATGTTGATAATTCTATCTCCATTGGTACTTTGTCCTCCTGCCCTCTGTCCTGCATTCTAAGAGAGAATCTTTATTTTTTGTCATACTCTCCAAAAAAACATGCAGGTTTTCAGGGAGTGACGCCGCATGGGGTGCTGATCTCCATTAGAGATGAGGCGAGGCGACAGAGCGGAGAGCTGCGGGTCCAAGAGTTTTTAATTTTGTAGACTTAGTCACATTTCCAAAGAGGTTTGAGGATCAACAGAAAGTTACTAATTTTCTTTTCTTACCTAGAAGGACATTGAAAACACATACACAATGAACAAACCAGAAAGAGACTCGTAAGACCAGAGAACAGACTAGTGTTTGCCATAAGGGTGTGCAAAAAAAGAGAAAAAAAATAAAAAAAAATACTACCTACCATCACCGGTTCAAAACAGCAGGAAGGTACAACCTTAGAATGAAAGTAGAGGCCTTGTCAAGGAAAAGGCACTGTGTGGCCTAAGGCCTCAATGAGCCCTAAATCAGGACACAGTGGTATGTGTTGCCTTGACATCTGATAAAATCGAGCAGGCTTCAAATGGCCTACCCACCAGCCCCCACACAGCTTCTGCCAATCTGTTCCCCAAGCCACCGACCCTCCTTACCTTGGATACCAAACATAGTGCCTGCTTGTCCCTGAGTTCTCTGCCAGCCTACAGAACTATTTAAAAAACCCATCATATTCTCCTGTGGGGAACAGGCAAGCCTCGCCGTGACATTACAAAGCCTATCCCCCACCTCTTATTTGCCCTGGTCCTGACTGCAGTTCCCATGTGGCAGTGCCTGGCATGTGGGGTCCTCCTCTGGGCCACAAGTATTTGTGACTAATAAACTGCTGTCAAACCCATCTATCCAGTGTCACATGTCATGTGTTCGGCCATCTCCAAAACCTGAGGACAGAAATCCCTCTCCCTTATCAACAGCGTGAAGAGGAAGTGATCAGAACAAGGTGGCAACACGACATCTAGGTTCAGAGGATCCCCCGTCGTCTTTGTTTTGCGTGTTTCCCCAGGAAGCAGCGAAATCAGCCCTGCAGAAGTCTGAAGACTCACCCAGGGAACAGTGGAGAGCCCAGTGTGTGGAGCCAGGATATCTGGGATCTAGCTGGTCCTGGCTGCTCCAAAGTATGTGTCCCACCCCTGACATCATTATCCTTCTTGGACCTGTTTTCTAGCTATAGAATGATGGGATGGCTTCTGCCACCTCTGTGATTCTATAAAGACAATCTGATGAAATCAGTGGACAAGAAGAGTGAATGTTTGGTGCACCCTGGTCATCCTACAGGAAGGCACTGTCTAGCAGGGTTTTTACCCTGCGTCTAAAGCTGGGGCAACTGGAGATAATGGAAGACCAAAGAGCAGCGTGCCCAACAGGGCCGCCCCCACCTGCCAGGAAATCTTGCCTGGGTGGAGTCCTCCCGCCTCTTCTTGCTCTCAGCACTCCGTCCCATTAGCAAATGGGAGTTTTGAAATCTCCCTTTGACCATCCCGTGTTCCATCCCAGCCCCCAGATCCACTCATCTCAGCCATTAGCTCCACTAGCAGAGACCTTGCTTTAGCAGACACACAACTGTCACACCGTCTAGATCCACACTCCCCTCTGCTTCCTGAGGAAAAGTGCTCGGGGACCCAGAAAGTAGGCCAGGTCCTCATAACCTTATCAAAATAGCACAGCTACCCTCAGAGACTGGTCCATGGAGTGGGAAACAGGGCATCTGGGGTCTTGTCCAACCAGAGCCCAGACATCTGCTGTAGTTAAGGGGCCTCTGGGTGTCCCCATGTCGTGCCAAAAAAGGAACCATCTCCAGCCCCATTCTGTGTGTGTGTGTGTGTGTGTGTGTGTGTGTGTGTGTGTGTGTGTGTGTGTGTGAGAGAGAGAGAGAGAGAGAGAGAGAGAGAGAGACAAGGGTTAGGCACATGCCTTCTGATAGAAACAATCTCTGGACTGGGACCCAGAAAGCTGGTAAGTAGGAATGAACGCAGTGCAAGGAGCGACAGGAAGGAGTCCGCTGTGTCTGAAATGCAGCAGGAAGGTGAATAGGAGAGAAAAGATTGCTAGAGGCTGGCAGCCAGGGTCCAGGACACCCAGGGCCTTAAAAATTACCCTAAAGACACTGAGAAGCCAAGTTACCTGACCTGAGGAGGGGTGGGCTTACCAGACTAGCATTTTGCAGCCCCCAGCCCCTGGGAGCTTGTGAGAAGGGCAGACTCAGGCAGCCCACCCCCACCAAACCAGGGTGATTCCAGGGAGGCAGGGGCAGCTGCATGTTTAGCCCCAAGAGCTGCTCTTGTTTACGAGAGTGCATGGCTCCCAGACTCAAGCATCCTCGGGGCTAGAAAGTCCCATCACTCTTATGTTCTGGGAGGCCAGCTAACTTCACAGGAGAGAGAGGGATATGACTCTCCCACCTGCTAGCCCAGGCTGGCCTCTAGAGTGCCACTGCAGGGACGGAAACCACCACCAAGGTGCCAAGGTTCACTTCCACGGAGCAACAGGCAGGCGGCGGGGAGGCACGTAGCCCACAGGATGTCCTAGAAAGAATTCACAAGGATGCCCAAGGTTGCAACTCAAAACCTTTGTTCAAAAAAATTCACCTCACCTGTGGATGGGAGAGACACGTCATCAGTTCTGGCTGTAAAAAAAAAAAAAAGTCTAAGGATTTCTGGTGACGTCAGATTGATGGAGCTAGGACAGATGTCCCAGGGGATTAAAAGTTTGGTCTCCACTTGCCGTTCAGTCTTCCCTTCCCCACAGTTCCACAATTTCACCTCCCACTGGGCTAGGATGCAGTAGTGGAGTGGCTCAGCACTGAGGACTTGAGGTCCACAGCCCTGGGGGACTGGCCAGCCCTCCCACTTTCTTGCCATGAAATGGGATGAGATGAACCCAGCACCTTGCTGAGCGGTCCAGGCGGCATGGGTGTAACGGGCCCAGGACAGCATTCGGCAGAGGGCAGCACCCAGCCAGCAGGACGAGGGGTTGGGCGTGGCAGGAGAAGTATATGAAATCGAGAACCTTCTAGCTGTTTGCTCAAGAAGGTGCAAGCCCAGGAGCTGGGGGAGACTGGGTGCCCCAGAGCGGAAAGCCCCTGAAGGGCTTGGTGTTCCAGGATGGATGAGGGGCGGTGCAGGGCCGGGCCGGGGAGTCAGACAGACCCCGTGCCCCGCCTGCCCTGCTTCTGAAGCTCTGCTCCCAAGTGGGAAAGCGCGCCACCATCTTCCTTTGGAGAAAGCTTGGAATATTCCAACTCCAAAACCTCTCACTGGAGGCTCCACAGGAGGGGGGCTCCTGCTGAAAAGGAAACGAGGCCGCGGGGGCATTGTGCAAGAGGCCGGTTGCTGGCCTCCATCCTCCATCCTCTCCGCCGCGGTTTTCCCCCAGGCTTCCGAAGCCTGCCTAAATCAGGAGAAAAGCTTACTTAAGAGGGAGCGAGCACTGCGGGGCTCTGGGAAGCGGCCAGCGTTCCCTGCGCTGCCCCCCACCCCCGATTGCCGGGGCGCTGAACCCTCCCGCGTCCCTGGCCAGGCCTGCCAGTCCCAGGGTGAGGTCCCCCTTCTGCTGCAGACCGCCGCTCTCCCACACCAAAACCTGGTCGCCGCCCCTCCCTCCCTGCCTTCCCCGCCCCCCCACCGCCTCTGATTGGCCGAGCCCCGGGCCCTCCCTGCCTCTCCTCTCCCACCCCGGGTGAAAACTGCGGGCGCCGGGCTGGGTGCAGTAACTGGAGGCGGCGGCGTGTCGGGAGGAGGCTGCTGCAGCAGAGGACAGGCGCTCAGGTGGGAGCCGGAGCCCGGGCGGGACGGGGCGCGCGGGGTGGGCCCCGGGCGCCGGTGCAAGGCTCCCAGCCGAGGCCTCGGGGAACCCTCGGAGGTGCCTGGGAAGGGGCCGCGCGGCGCTCGGGAGGGGGCCTGCGTGCCAAGCAGGGACGGGGGTGGGACGCAACTACTGCAGGCCCCGCGCCGCGTTCCCCGGGCGGGGAAGGCGCCCCCAGCTTTCGCCCCTGCGGGGACAGTTACCTGGAGCCGGGGCGCTGCAGGGGAACCGGGAGGAAGGGCGCCAAGGACAGCCTTGGGCTCTGCTTTCCACTCAGACGTCCCCAAGCCTAGCTCGCAAAGGCGGGGCACGGGGGCGGCGAAATTCGGGGGAGAGAACCGGGCAGGGCAAGACGGAGCGGATCTCTGTCTCGCGACCTCGCTGCGCGCGGGGTGCGGGGCGTCCGAGCTGAAGGAAACCGCAGCGCCGCGGGCGGGGACTGGGAGGCAGGCGGGGGAGGGGACAGCCGGGAAAGGATGAGCGGGGGCTGGGGCCGCCGTTGGGGGAGGAGACCCTTGGAATACGGGGTAAGGGTGGGGCTGGTCGAACTGGGGCTGAAGAGGGAGGGAGCCAGAACTTCTCCGCGTTCTGGGCTGCGGGGACGCACTGGCAGAGAAATGGAAAATATCTGTGCCCCTGCTACCGCTCTGCCCCTCCCTCTGGCTCAACATCAGCCTGCAGCGCCAGCCCCCGCCCCATTTCTTCCCTTCCTGGTTCTAGCCGCCGCTTCCCTCTTCCCCTCCTAGATCCCAACCTCGCACCGCTCCTCCTCAACTCAGTGTCCACGAATCAAAGCCAGACGCCACCCTCTTTCTTCCCCAACAGTACTTCGGGTCCCTCTCGGCAGAGGTCCAAGAGGGTATTGACAGTAGCCGCAGGCGCCAGGGGATCCCAGCGTCGCCCCACCGCAGGGCTGAGCCTGGGGGACCTTGGACACGGGCGAGCGGCGGGCTCTGCGCACCCGGGCTGGGCACCGTGCGCACTCGCAGGCACATGCCCCTCCTGTGGCCTGTCAAGCACCAATGAGGACAGGCTAGGCTACCTGCCCCCTGATAATGTCCAGCCTAGGCTGCAAAAAAAGATGGCAGAGAGCCTGGGCAGGGAGGTAACTGAAGCTGGAATGGAAAGCTGCAGGCCCATGAAATCTTCCCAGAGAGCTGGGCGTTTGGAAACATCTTGGTTCCTGTGCAATCCGAGCGCACTGTCACTTTCCCTCGCACATCTGGGGACACCCTTATCTGTGCCAAGCACAGTCTTTTCTGGGAGCACCTTAATCACACACACACCAGCCACCATCCCTAACCACATCAGTGGATCACTTCCTGTGCAGCAGTCATAGGACTAGATGCTTGTCAGTTTTCTTCATCTCCATCACAACCCTGTGGGTGTGCACAGCTCAGATTCATTCACTCATTCAATGTCTTTTGAGCATCTGTTACATGCCAAGAAGTGTTTATGCACTGGGAACTTTCTTCTGACCAAGAAATGGAAGTCCCTGAAACGGGTTTCGTTTAATGAAGAGTTTTAATGTTGCAAGATAAAAAGAGTTCCGAAGATTGATTGCACAGCAGTGCAGATGAACTTAACACTCCGGAACGGTACACTTAAAAATGGTTAAGGTGGTAAATTTTGTAGTATATGTATTTTTATCACAATTAAAAAATAGTCCCTGTTTTCCTGGAGGGAAGAGAAAATGATGAAGTCACTCAAGTGTCCAGCACAGACACACACCATTACAAGGGGCACTGTCCCTGCTTGCTTTCCTGAGGAGGAAGCCCCAAACACAGTGTCACCTCCACTGAGAAGTAGGTGGGGGGAGAGCGCTGTGGAGAGGGGCTCGGATGCCTGCTGTGGCCATCATGGCATGGCTCCCGGGGCCCCCAGAATGGTTCTAAGTGTGGGCACACCTACCCCATCTCTTGGCTGATTCCCATCCCATTCCCACCCCCAGATTCAGGACTGAGCTCCCGGCACCATGAATCCCACCATCGGCATCGCTCTTCTGCTGACAGGTACTGGGCAAGGGGCAGGGCTGGGATCCCAAGCACCCTGGCTTCCTCCCCACCCCCTTCAGAGAATCTAGCTTCTTCCTCAGGACCTCAGAATTTGGAGGCAAGGAAGGGAGAAGGGCTCTTTTTCATCCCTAAGTCAGCTGAGCAACTTAGTGGATCTTCTGACAGCCTGAGGTAGTTTTTTGCAAACAGAATTCACTGAGCCCATCCCAGATAGAGTTGCAGTCTCCAAATGGGAACCTGCATCAACTCCCCAAGATCTCCTGCCCCAGAACACACTGGTGGGACCCAGGACTGGAGCAGACAGGGAGGGAGGGAGGCTGGGAGGCTGGGTCTGCAGCCAGGCAGATGGACTGGCCCTCAGAGCCCTCTAGGATGGGGAGAATGTGGGTGGGAGGCACCCTGCTCTGCAGAATGCCCAACTGGGCAGGGGCACTGCTGGTGCCAGTCTTGCAGGTAGCCCATGGGCAGAAGGTCACCAGCCTGACAGCCTGCCTGGTGGATAAGAGCCTCCGTCTGGACTGCCGCCATGACAATACGACCACCTCGCCCGTGCAGTGTGAGTTCAGCCTGACCCGGGAGAAAAAGAAGCACGTGCTCTACGGCTCTGTGGGGGTGCCCGAGCACCTGTACCGCTCCCGGACCAGCTTTACCAACAAGCCCAACATCAAGATCCTCTACTTGTCTGACTTCACCACCAAGGATGAGGGGATATACACATGTGAGCTCCACCTCTCTGGCCAGCCTCCCACCACCTCCAGCAAGAATGTCTCTGTGCTCAGAGGTGAGCAAGCCCCCAGTAAAGCCAGGTGAACTGCAAGAGGCAGGCTGGGAGGAATGAACTGGCTAGGAAAGCAGGGAGGCAGTCCCCTTGTGGGCCGGGAGAGTGGCCCCAAAACCCCTCTCAACTTCCCCCATCTGCAGCCTGCTGCCCTGAGCCACTGCCTTCAGTGTGACTGGGCGGGGGGCAGGGGGGCGGCTACAGGACAGGCAGGCAGGCAGAGTGGCGTAGCGGGCATTTCTAGCACGACTACATGCAAATCCCCTAACATCCCCAATCTCCCTTCCCTCCACCTGGAAAACAGGGTTGACACTAGCTCCCTCGCCCAGTTTTCACATGATGACACTTAGTGAAGGTCTGATACGATGTTGCCTCAAAGGCTCAGGAACCTGCAAATGGAAAAGATGGTCGGATCTGATCCCAGCTGAGATATCAGGGCACCAGCCTCCCCAAGGGAATGAGCCCTTACTCAGGGCCTGGGCCTGACTGCGCCCCCTTCATTCCTGCCCTGCCCCTCCACCCCGTTCTCTCTCCGCAGACAAACTGGTCAAGTGTGAGGGCATAAACCTGCTGGCCCAGAACACGCCCTGGCTCCTGCTGCTCCTGCTCTCACTGCCCCTCCTGCAGGCCATGGATTTCATCTCCCTGTGACTCGCTGGGCCCGCGGAAGACACAGGAAGCCCTGGGGCCCAGCCAGAGATCCTACTTCTCGGAGTCAGCTGAACCCCTACCCCCAATCCCTCACATATCTCGGGAAGAAACGGGGACCCACCCCTCAAGGAACCCTAGTGCTGCATGCTACTATCTACCCCCTTGCTCCCTGCAGCCCTACCCCGTGCCACTCACACCCTCTCTGCACACCACTGGCTGTCTTTTTATACTCTGTGTACCAGAGCTGCTTCTCTTCGGTTTATTTAGAATTTATCTTTCCTTTTCTTTGGGAGTTTGTGAAAAGGGAAGCCAGAATTGGGTATCTGATGGAGAGTGAGGGTATGGGAGAGGTGGTAGGATGGAGGTGGGGCTGGGTACTGGTCCTTGGAGCTGAGAGAGACCCAGATGAGGAGGGGATACGGGGTCTGTTTGGGCCTAGCACATCCCTCGGCAGGCAGGGATGGTGTCTGAGACCCGGAAATGTGAAGACACTGCCGACATAATGGCCCATCCCGTGAGGAGGGTGCTGAGCATCTCCAGGAGTTTTCTCTGCCACAGTAGAAAGCCAGCCTCCTACCAAAGCAGAAGTCCTCTCGGGGCCTTGGGCCTAGGCTGGCCCAGTGAAAGTGCAGGTTCTGCTGGGGCAGGGGCAGTGCTAATGGAGCATTGGAGAGGGGTCCATCGGCCCTCCCCACCTGAAGAAGCTAACTATGGCAGCCTACTGACCCTCACTGCCCTCCAGCAGTTGAGAGGGTGGCAAAGGACAACAGCCCCCTCCAAGGCTGTCCCAAGCTCCTAAGAGCTTCGAACTGTGACCTGGAGGCGGGCAGTCAGGCCTGGTGGAGCCCCCAGGGCCAAGCAGAGTGTGGCCCAAGTGTTTCTCTGGAAGGTTCTTCATTCCCTCCCCTGTCCGTGCCAGCCCCCGTCCCGTGGGTCTGCCTTCCCAGGGGCCTGTGGGGGGCCTGGGGCAGGCCATGAGTGAGACCCATCAATGGGCTACACCTCGAGAGATGGCTTTTCCCGACACCCAGCTCCCCACCCAGCAGCTGTGCCCTGTCCTGTGAACATGTGTCATGCCACCACAGCTTATGGCATCTCGTTGAGGAAAAAGAAAACTGCACAATAAAACCGAGCCTTGGAATCTGTCCTGCCTCTGCCTCTTCGTCTTTCCCCAGGCCTGCCTCCCCTCCCTTGGCTCTGCACCCAGGAGGCCCAGCCTGCCACCTCTCCCTCTCCCTCTTCCTGCCTCATCAGCCCTTCCTCTCCCCACAGTCCCCAGCGATGGACCACTGCACGGTGGGCTCCTCAAAACAACCCTAACACGACACAGTTGCCCGCATGAATGAATGTTCCGTGGGCTGACGCACCTGACAGGAACAGCACTCACCTGCCGACGTGTGGGCCAAGCCACGCGGCCCTGGGACATGCTGACAAGTGCTAAGGTGTGGAACTGCTGTTATTTCTCGGATCTGGTTGTTCCGGGAAACGGCCCCTCGAGTTACGTGGGACTATAGCGAGGGCAATGCCGGGCCCCGAGAGGAGGTTGGAGGCGGCACCATGGGAGCTGGCCAGGGCAGCAAGGGGCCGGCGAGCACTGCTTCCTAAACCCAGCAACGCCAGTAAAGAACTGGGCGGTGGGAGAGCATACCGCAGCCCTCCGGGCTCCCTCTAAAAGCGAAGGAGTAGAATGTGAACAGCACCGGGGGCGTTGGGGCCCAGGACAGGGTGGCAGGGTGGCTCTGGGGTCCAGCTGCTGGCAGAGTGAGGCAGCCCCCAGACAAAGCCTGCCCTCCTTTGCCAGGAAACTGGGGAGGACGGTGACAACCACCCAGCTGGCTCACTTGGTTTTTAATGCCATAGAGGATATTCTTTCTGAGCATTTACTTAAATACCTGGGATCTACATCGATGCCCCTGACCCCACTCTTCCGGACGCCCCCCGTCAATGTCTGTGCCTTGCCAGCGGCCGCGGTAGTAAGCAAGCCCAGAGAGGGCAAGAGAGCCCACAGGTTGGCGAGGCAGCCGCCTGTGTCCCCGACTGCGAGGCCCAGGTCTCTGGGCAACTCTGAGCTAGCCTGGGGTCCCCAGAGGACAAACGTGGACACAGGCGCCTCTTACTCTGTCCTGCCTGGACCTGCAAGCATCAGACCTAGAAAATGAAAAGAGCCTTTATAGGGGAAGGGAATTCAAATGCCATCCTCAGTGTAGTAAGAGTTGAACTGGAAGGTCTTCCTGGAAGAAGCCAGATAGGAAGCCTCATCTGTGAGAATGCCATGAGCCCCCAGTGCCTGGGTAATGCCACCTAGGTGGTCCCTGCCACGGCCTGGTGCTGATTCCCTAAGAATTTAGCAGCCACACACAAGGGTCCTGGGAACTGGTGTTGCCCCCCGCAGCCACGCTTGAGGGAGGCCCACAGTGCGTGGGCTTCACTTAGAAATCACAAAGCCATCAGAGGACGGACTACAGGAAGGCAGGCAAGGAAAAGAGGCCTGGGCCTGAAATGGGGCCCTACAACTTAAAGCCGGGGCCAGCAGACCTCTCAGCATAAGCCAACACAGAGAGGCCGTGCTGCGGCTGGGTGGCCGCGGACTCTCAGAGGCCGGCCACAACAGCTGTCAGGTCCCCGCTGGTCAAGTCAGGAGTCTTGGGGAAGCTGCAGGACGTCAGTAGTGACTTGGCTAATGATAAAGAGGGCTGGGCCAGCCCTACCTACTCCCATGTCCCTTCCACCATCTCAGCCCTACCTCAGGGATGGGATTCTTATGCATAGCAACACAAGCCCCTTTCCACATCCCTTTGATTGGACTGTCCACTGAGACGGGAAATCTGTGCAGGGCATGGTGGGAGGGTCTCCCCAACTCCCTCCAAAGGGCAAGGGGTCACCATGAAGAGATGCGAGGATGTCCACTGACCAACCAATACATCTACACAGTGTCCAGAGGACCTGAGCCACATACCCTCCAGCCTGCACAGCAATGACGCTGATCCCTTCTGTGTGTGTGCAGCCTGTGGACTGCAAAGGGCATGCCTGTCTGCACATGCGAGCGAAGCCAGTCTCGGGTTAAGAAGAAATGCTGGAGCTGGGGTCCTTCAGACTCCTGGCAAAGCGTGAGGGTCACCAGCTATCTGCTGCTCAACCCAGGAGGGCTTCAGGACAAAAGGGGGATTGCCTTCCTGCCCAGGGCTCCCAGTCTCAGGAGACTCGCAGACCCTGAAGGTCCCTCTGCCTCCTGACAATCATGTCTTGTGAAGACTCATGGGAGGCATCTTTTCCTGACAAAGGCTGGCCTGGGGGCCGAGAAGGGCGTGGGAAGTGGACCCACGGTGTAGAGGGCAACACAGGACCAGCGGGAGAGTTTCATGGAGGCCAGGTGTGGCCCCACACCCAAAGTGGCCTTTGATGGCTGGAGCTGCCTGGAAGCAGAGGTGGGCAGTGCCCAGCAGCCGTGGGTGTGCTCAGTGGAGGCCACCTGCCTCATCTGCCATAAAGCAGTTTTCTGAATTCAGTAGGAACCAAAACTAAATGACCGCACCTCAGTGCCTCACTTCTCTAATTTTCAAAATAAGACAATTGGACTGGGATCATTTATTTGTACAAAAAACATTAAGCTCCTGGTTCTGTGCTAAGAGGCAAAAGACAGCCTCTGTCTAAAGGAACATACAGTCCAATAAGAAGAGGGGATGATTTCAGCCTAGTGATCAATGTGGGGAGGCATGGAAGCTGTGGCAGACACTGCTGGGAGTTCCCCAACATTCTCCTCTTTTCAGCAATAGGACCCACAAATTAGAACTGGAATGTGTGGTTGAGAACAAAGACTACATTTCCCAGCTCCCTTGCAGCAAGATGTGCCTGTGTAGTTAAGTTCTGTCCATCGGGATGTAAGCACAAAATGGTGTGTGTAATTTCTATGAAGTGCTCTTAAAGGGGGAATGCATGCCTTTCTCCCCCTTTCACCTCCACACTGGCTGGAATGCAGAGTTGATGGCTGGACCCAGAACAGCCATCATGGACTATGAGATAGAAATGGTACGTTACAAATGACACAGCACAAGCCAGCATCCCAGATTCCTAGTGATAGCAGAGCCATCACAGCAGCTGCAGAATACTGTGCTTGAGCTGGAGCTTTCTGCGCTCACAACTAAACCTAAACATACCTTAAAAAGAAGCCATTATTTAACATTACTGAACTGTACACTTAAAACCAGCTAAGGTGGGAAGCTTTCTATGTTTTTTACCATAACTTAAAAAAAGAGAAAACAGCCAAAAGTCAAATTCAGAGACAGAAGTGAGAACTGTGGTTGCCAGGGGCTGAGGAGAGGAACAAACAGGAATTATTATTAATGGGGACAGAGTTTCAGTTTTGCAAGATGAAGAGGGGGGGTTCTGTAGATGGATGGTGGTGACAGTGGCACAGCAACGTGAGTGTATTTACCAACACCAAACCATACCCTGTGGATGGCTGGGATGGTGAATTTTATATCATGTGTACTTTACCACAATCTCTTTTAAAAAGCAAAAGCAGCCTCGGCCCAAGGGAACATTTGTGGAGAGTTACGCGAGGGCACACACTTGCCAAGACTCATCGAAGTGTTCGCTGAAGTGGGTGAATGTCATTAAATGTAAATTATGCCTCAGTAAAGTGCTATGGGAATACACAAGGTGGGCAAAGGGCTTCCAGAGGAGGGGTCACTAGCAGGAGTTAACACAAAAAGTAGGCTCTATGGTTATATAAGAAAACTTATTTTATTTCTTCTATATCCTGAAAACCTGTGAAGAGGGAGTGGAAGACCTGTGGGTTCAGTCTGAGGACAGGCCTTCGCGCTCTCTAGGGCAACATACAACTGTTAGCTGACATACCAGCTCTGAGAGCACACAGGCTATCAGCAGGGCCTCTGACCCAGTTAAGAGTCATTCAAACTAACTGAGTGGACACTCCATGCCAGGGAGTTTAATTATCTGTGCAGGATAACAGAATAGAATGGTGAATGATACAGAAAAATTCCTATCCTATAAAACTGATACTGTAGCATAGGAGACGGACACTAAGTAAACCCATAAAGAAATCACGACATTATAGATTGGAGTCATTCACATGTAGGAGGTGATAAGACAAGGATGGCCAGCACTTTAGTTAGGGTCAGGGGAAGCCTGAGGGAGCCACAGAGCTGAGACCTGGAGGAGCGAGAAAGCCAGCCATTCCCAGAACGGCCAGAAGCCCAACCAGGCGGAGGGACCAGTAAGGTGCTCACAGGGGCAGGCCGGGAGTGTACAAGACGTCATCGAAGAGGTAGGCGAGAGCCAGGTCCCACCGGAGCCATTTTATTCTAATGTCAACAGAGAAACAATGAAGGATTTGATGTAGTAACGTCTTCAGAAGATCCCTCATACTGCTCTATGGAAAATGGGTTGAAGAAGAGTGACAGTAGGAGCGAGACCTCAGCAGGATATTGCAGTGGTCCTGAAAGAGGTGACAGCAGTGCGGCCAAAAACTGTTGCAGCAAAAAGAGGGAGGTGGCGACACTGAGGTGCACATAGAGTTAAGACTAAGGGGACTAATGAAATCTGAATAAGATGTGTGGGTTTTACCAACACTAACTTCCCTGTCTTAATACTGTACTACAGCTATGTAGGATGCTACCATTGAGGCGAACAGGGTGGAAGGGTACACACAACCTCTTTATACTATTTTTGCAGCTTCCTGTAATTCTACAACGGTTTTAAAATCAGGCTTTTTAAAATTATCAATAGCAACCAAAAAACAAGATGGCAAGCATTAACTCCAAAAGTAGGAAAAAAGAATTTTAATCATATATAAATAAGGCTTAGCTGTGAACAATATTTACATAGTCGTACTAATATAAACACTAGTGATTTTATCCAAAAAGTACCATAAAGCTATACTGGAGGATGGAAGGAGGGTATGTGTTTGGTGGGGAAGGAAAGAGGCTTTTACAGTGACAGAGGAGAGCTTGACCTCATTTTCCATAGGTGAAAGTCAATAGGCAATACTTAAAACTAAAAACTCAAGAAAGAGCTATCTATCTGAGAAATGTTTAAATATTGAAGAACAAAGTAGAAAAACTAAAATAGTTGAGAGTGGTTGCTTTGGGGAAAGAGAATCTAGGGTAGGCTAACAGACTGCTTT